ACAGAATGGATATAAATGCTCTGGAAAACGTACAAAGGAGGATGACAAAGATGATCCCATGTATCAGAAATCTTCCCTATGAGGATAGACTGAGGGCCCTGAATCTGCACTCTCTCGAAAGGGATATGATCGAGGTGTATAAATAGAAAACAGGAATAAATAAAGAGGATGTAAATAGCGTGCTGAAAATTTCCAGCCAAGACAGGACTCGCAGCAATGGTTTCAAGCTGGAAAAATTCAGATTCAGGAAGGATATAGGAAAGCACTGGTTTGATAATAGAGTTTTGGATGAGTGGAACAAACTCCCGAGTACAGTTATTGAGGCTAAAACGTTGTGTAGTTTTAAAAATAGGTTAGATAAATACATGAGTGGGTGTGGGTGGGTGTGAGTTGGACCTGACTAGCTTGTGCTGCTGGGTTTGGTGCAGTGTTCCTTCCTTAAGTGGAGGTGACCAGACTGGGTGGGTCATTGGGCTAATCCAGGGGGGTCATTGGTCTAATCCGGGGGGGATATGGACCTGATCCGCATGGGTCAGTAGGCCTGTTGGAGTGTTCCTTCTTTCTTATGTTCTTATATATATATAAATGTATATAATATATATATATATATGTATATATATATGTATATATTATATATATATATATAATATATATATATATATATATATATATATATATATATATATATATATATATACATATATGTATATATATATATATATATATATATATATATATATATATATATATATATATATATATATATATATATATATATATATATATAATATATATATATATTGTGCAAAACTCAGACATTTACAAAACAATAATGTCGTTCCCGTCCGGCTCTGCTGGGGGTTACACTGGAATAAGGCCGCAGCATTTAAAGTAAATGGTTAATCCAGTTATCGGGGAGATTACAGCGACACTGCTTTCAATGCTCACAAGATTTGTTAACAATTCCTTGGCAGGTCTGATTCCTGACGAAATTGAACCTTTCTGTTTTGGTGTATCACTTTGTGCCCTTAAAAAGACGGATGGAGGAATGAGGCCAATTGCAGTGGACAACACTTTTCGCCGCCTCGTTTCCAAATCTGCTCTCAGAAGTATTCGCACAGAGGCAGCCATGATGCTTCAACCAAACAAGCTTAGCTTTGGAGTCTCTCAAGGAAGTGAAGCAGCGGTTTATCCATCAAGGGCGTATATCAACAATCTGCCTGAGGGCAATGCAGTGGTAAAATTAGATTTCAAGAATGCTTTTATTCTCTTGAAAAGAGACGTGGTATTAGCAGGGGTGCAAGAACATTTCCCTGGTCTCTTCCCCTTTGTTTCAGCTGGATATAGCAAGGAATCAATGCTCCTGTTTGGAGAGGATGAAATCACATCATCAGACGGTGTCCAGCAAGGGGATCCTCTTGCTCCATTTCTAACGGAAATCAGAGTCAGACTGACCAGTAAGCTAAATATCTGGTTCCTGGATGATGGCACAATAGCAGGTACAAAAGAGTGCCTTCTAGACGATCTTACACAGGTGAAGACACGGGGACAGGAAATGGGTTTCATCCTGAATCCATTAAAATGTGAAATCATCTCAGTCAATCAACAAGTGATAAATGCAGTGAGCTCAGAAATACCAGGAGCATCAGTCATTAACCCCACAAATAGTACCTTGCTTCGAGCACCTCTGGAAAGCGATGCCATTGACACAATTCTCAGGAAGAAACTGGAGGAGTTGAGGAGAATGGAGCAACGAATAGGCAATCTTGACACCCACGATGCCTTGTACCTTCTCACAAAATGCTTAAGTCTGCCCAGGTTGACATATTTCCTAAGATGTGCACCATCATATTATAACCCTATACTGCTTGAATATGACAACATCCTAAGGCAGATTTTTACTAATGTACTTAACCTTACTCTAAAAGATAGGCAGTGGGACCAAGCTGCACTTCCAGTCATATTAAGAACCATTGGTGTCCGTAAGTCATCATAGATTGCGCTACCTGCTTTTCTGTCTTCATGCTTTGCATCCAGAGGGCTTGTAGCAGCGATTCTCCCTGAACATCTTAGGGTCAAGATTGGAGTCCAGGACGAAAAGTTCTGAATGATCTGGGATAATCTAACGGGCTCTGAAGCCAGACCTGCTTCCCTGAACAACTACAAACAGTCACACTGGGATGGCCCAATAGTGGAAAAACATAGCCTGAACCGCCTCCTGGCAGTGAGAGCTCATCATGCAGGGGACTTGGTGATGGCTGTTTCCAACTACAGCCTTGGCACACGCCTCGACCCATAGACCATCCGCATTGGTGTTGCCCTTCGACTTGCCGCCCCTATTTGTGGCACTGAAGCAGCAGACCGATTCGGGTACCATGGTTTTGTGTGCCGTACATCCGAGGGAAAGATTGCAAGACTTGAGGAGATTAATAACAATATCAAGAGGTGCCTCACAACAGCCGGATGCGCAACAGTATGGAAGCCACCCCAACTATGCAGATCTGATGGTAGCCAAAAGCGACCAGATGGTATCACCCTTCAAGCCTGAAGAGACGACAAGCAGGTGGTGTTGGACTACACATGTGCATCTACCTTGGCTGATACCTATCTCCAATACACCAGGGAGGAAGGAGGGGCAGCTGCCAGCTTCAGGGAGTCCTAGAAGTCTAGAAAATGCGGAAAACTTGCCCTTCATTATATGCTCGTTCCCATAGCCTCTGAGACCCTTGGCTCATGGGAAAAGAATGCATCTAAGTTCATTAAAGGAGCTAGGCAAGAGGCTGATCAATGTAACTAGGGATCCCCGGGCATCTAGTTTTCTGTTCCAGCTACTCAGTGCTGCTGTTCAGAAGGGTAATGCCTGCTGTATTTTGGGCACGCACCCCAGCTCTGAGGAACTGGATGTGATTTACACTTTATAATCAGTGACAAACATTTAACATTATGTATTAAACATGTATCTCTCACACCTTATGTACTGTATATGCCATCTTTATATCAATAATGTATCTCTTTAATCTTTTGTACTGTATTATGTAATAAAATATACCTATTGGTAAAAAAGAATAGAAAGATGGGGTGGTAGAAGAAGTGGTATATTCAAATGGCTTCAGGAAGAAATCCAAATATTCTTCCTTGAAGCCTTATTATCCACTTTTCCGAGGCTATGGGTCCCTCAATATATATATATATATATATATATATATATATATATATATATATATATATATATATATATATATATATATACATATATATATATATATATATATATATATATATATATATATATATATATATATATATATATATATATTGTGTGTATATATATATATATATATATTTTATATATATATATATAATATAATATATATATATATATATATATATATAATATATATATATATATATAATATTATGTTATATATACGTGATGACAGCAGTTTGTTGGACTAAGTATTGGTAGATGAAAGACTGATCAGTAGCCTTCAGGATGTACATGTTTATGGATGGGCCACAGATGTATCAAATCACTTTTTAGTTGTAGCTACAGAGAGTAAAAGGTAGATGGGATACAAGGAAAATAGAGACAGCAAGTAAGAGAGAGGTGAAGGTTTATAAACTAAAGGAGGCAGTTAGGGAAGGATATAAACAACTATTGGAGGGTAGATGGGCTAGTGAGAGTGTAGGTAATGGGGTCGAAGATGTATGGGGCAGGTTTAAGAATGTAGAGTTAGAGTGTTCAGCAGAAGTTTGTGGTTACAGGAAAGTGGGTGCGGGAGGGAAGAAGAGCGATTAGTGGAATGATATAGAGTAATAGGGGAAAAAAGTTATCATATGAGAAGTTTATACAAAGTAGTAGAGATGCAAGGAGGGAGGAGTATATGGAAAGAAAAAGAGAGGTTAAGAGACTTTTGAAGCAATATAAAAAGAGAGCAAATGAGAGAGTGGGTGAGATGTTATCAACAAATTTTGTTGAAAATATAAAAAAAAATAGAGTGCTAGACTCTTTATCTTTTAATCACCCAACTCTTGTCAACACCCGAGCATTCAATTCTCTAACAACCCTATCTATAAATATATTAAACAACCATGGTGACATCACATGTCCCTGTTTAAGGCCTACTTTTACTGGACAATAATCTCCCTCTCTCCTACAAGCCTTAACCTGAGCCTCACTATCCTCGTAAAAATTCTTCACTGCTTTCAGTAGCCTTTTCCATATCCATAAATGTCACAAAAACTTCTTTACCTTTATCTGAATACTGTTCACCTACATGTTTCCCTGTGAACACTTGGTCCACACCCCCCTACCCATCTTTATGCCTTTCTGTTCCTCTACGATCCTGCTCTCCGTCTAACTCGTATTTCTTTCAACAATAACTCTTCCATACACTTTACCAGGTATACTCGACAGGTTTATTACACTGTAATTCTTACACTCTCTTTTGTCCCCTTTGCCCTTAAACAAAGGAACTATGCATGCTATCTGCCACTCCCTAGACACCTTACCCTCTTCCATACATTTACTAAATAAAAATACTAACTACTGCAAAACTATTCCTGCCTGCTTTTAACATTTCTGCCTTTATCCCACCACTCCCAGGTTATTTACCCACTTTCATTCTACCCACTGCCTCAAGCACTTTTCTATACTTACAACTGGCTCTTCCTCACTCCTACAAGATGTTATACCTCCCTCCCCAGTTCACGAAATCGCAGCTTCCTTATCTTCACCAACATTTAACAGTTCCTCAAAATATTCCCTCCATCTTTTTCTCTCTTAGTCTTCACCTCATAATTCCACTAATCGCTCTTCTTCCCTCTCGCACCCACTTTCCTGTAACCACAAACTTCTGCTGAACACTCCAATATTATTTTATCAAATAACCCTATACCTTTTCCACTTCATTGCCTATACTCACACTAGCCCATATTTCTTGCAATAGTTGTTTACATCTTACCCTAACCGCCTCCTCCTCTAATTCATAAACCTTCACTTCTGTCACACTTGTTGATGCATAAAATCAGTTACATATGTATTTTTTTGCAATACCAAATTTTTATTCTGTATATTCAACAGAAAAACACTGCTGCTCTGTAGGCTGGACTCCCCAGTTTGGTTTATTCGGCGCGACTTTTATATATCTTGAATAAGCTATTTGTTGATTAAAATTTTGTTATATACATATTATTACATATATAAACACATATAAACACTTGAACTCACTTATATTCACACTGTTTATTACGATTCAATCATTTTTCTCAAGTATATACATTAAATATTTGAATGTCATAAAAATATATACTATTTTCAGGTCTAGTTATAAGAGAGAATAAAACAAACAGTTATAGGAAAAAGCAGAAATTTGATTAGCAGAAGCCAGGAGAGCAAGGTTGATGTTCACAGCCACGTTAGCCAGAGTCCCCAGTGGCTGCCTACTGCTGGCTCCGTTGTCGTGGTGCATCGCTGCGGGGAACTCCTCTGTAGAGGAGACACATCAGCGTTAGTCATGTTGTCATAACCTATGGTTTAACATGGTAGTATTAAGCATGGTGGTATTATTTACCATGGGACATTTTAATGTCATGCATTTTGGCAGTGCTATAGTATGACAGTCGTAGTAGGCATGTTGACATGCCTAATACTCCTATGGGGCATAATTATGTTAGGCAAGGTGATAGTAACTATAATGAGATAGGGTAGTGCAAGGCATGGTGGAATTATTCATATTGGGGCATTATGATGTTGGGAATGGCAGTATTAGCCATCGTGAGACGTACGCAGGAAGATCAAAAAATTCTGAGCCTAACATATTAAGGAAATGGCAGTAAAACTGATATAAATTTATATTTCAAAATAGTCACATGAAAAACTTTACACTTTTTAAAACGTTCACAAAGTATTTCCCTGTAGCTCGAAAAGGGGTGGTTTACTATTGTTTCTTAAACTACTGTTTGTAGCAGACTTAAGGTCATTGTCATCCTGGTATCCTGCCCCACAGAAGTGGCCCTTCAGTTTCGGAAGCAGGTGGAAGTCGCTTGGGGCCAGGACCGGAGAATAGATGAGTCTCGCGAAGATGCCTTTGCATTTCGCAACGTAGTAGCAGAATCATCAACGTGAAGCAGCAGGGGGTATAGGAGTGGTGGACAACTTCCCTACCCGTTTTTCACGGACTGACTCACACAAACGCTTAAACATATCAGCGAAATATTCACCTGTAATGTGGACCTTGTAAGACAAAGTCAATTTGGATCAATCCTTCGGCATAATAGAAAATTGTGCGCAGGGTTTTGCTGGCATTGGGAAACTTCGAATTTGTTTGGTGTCCGAGAATTTGTATGTTTCCTTTGTTTTCACTGTTACTTGGATTCAAGGTCATAGTGATGAATCAGTTTTTCATCCCCGGTTACAAACCGCTGCTTAAATTTTTCCCAGTCCTTATTCATAAGCTCAAGGTTTAAAGAAAACCTGAATCATTTTCGTATCGGCTGTCAACATTCCCGGTACTCGACGAGCACAGACTTTGTTCAGAGTAAAATGTTTAAGGAGATTGGATTTAACTAAACCATAACTAATTTCCAGAGTGTCTACCATGTGAAGCAATTTGTATAAATAATCTGGAAAACCGACAAATTGATAATTGAGACACTTGGGCAACATTTCGTAATCTTCATTCCGGAAACGTTTTGCCACCCAGAGGCTTCTTCAGTCCAGTACAGTGGAAAATGAGGAGTTTGAGGTAATCAGTCCTTCTGCCTTCGGTAGATGTATTCAATTCATCAATCTTGATAAAAGTACAGCATTTCTGCATAGAAGGGGGTTTACATTCTGCAAACAGATAAGGTGCAGCAGTGATAGGAGGAGTCATCAGTGGGAAAACCCCATTGATGCTAATAAGTCATGCCTAAAGTTTTAGCAAATTCTAAAGAATTCCCTGCTTCTTGATCTCAAGATGTTGCTGTATCTGACGTAGAGGAATGACTTATTTCCATTAGTGCGTTTTTCCACTAATGATTCTATTTACCATGGCTTCACTTTTTCTGTCTGCGGTATATAAGAGGATATGCTTTACTTTTATCAAGACTGATGGACTGAACACATCGATCCAAGGCTGAAGGACTGATTATCTCAAACTACTCCCCATTTTCCACTGTTCTTCTCTGTATTAGGCTGAAGAAGCCACTGGATAGAGAATAAAGATTCCCAAATGATGCCCAAGTGTCTTAATTATCATTTTCCTGATACAACGTCTCTATTCGATCTTCCATCACTATTCGGTGCGTGGCCCTCAATGGTTTTTCCTGATTTATTGAGGTCGAAGGCCTGCCACACAGTATCGTCTTTAACAGATTTCCTGCTACGACGGAATTCTAAAACCCAACTCTTGAGTTTAGAATATGGCGGAGACTGGTCTTGCTACACGATGATCATGCAAGAATGACTAACTTCAAGCCATCAAAAGTGTTAGGATTCCATTCAGTGACAGGCTCAAAGCATTTTGGTCTTCTCTCGTAGTCATGTAAAACTTTTAGCATTACCTTACATGGGACATAGTTTAGGAATGTTCACATTAGATATTACTGAATAAGGTAGTGTTAGGCATGTTAGTGAAAGCAATTGTGGACCATGATAGTGTAAGTCATGACTGCGTTAATATGAGTCGTTAATGGAACAATAGTACAAGCCATAGTTTCATAAGATATCGTGAAACACACTGTAAAAGAACCTTTTGAAAATGGGAGTTCAGCCTAGTCTTCTTTCAACACACCGGCCATATCCCACCGAGGTGGGGTGGCCCAAAAGGAAAAACGAAAGTTTCTCCTTTTGCATTTAGTAATATATACAGGAGAAGAGGTTATAGCCCCTTGCTCCCGGCATTTTAGTCGCCTCTTACAACACGCATGATTTACGGAGGAAGAATTCTGTTCCACTTTTCCATGGAGATAAGAGGAAATAAACAAGAATAAGAACTAGAAAGAAAATGGAAGAAAACCCAGAGGGGTGTGTATATATGTGCTTGTACATGTATGTGCAGTGTGACCTAAGTGTAAGTAGATGTAGCAAAACGTACCTGAAATCTTGCAGGTTCATGAGACAGAAAAAAGGACACCAGCAATCCAACCATCATGTGAAACAATTACAGGCTTTCGTTTTACACTCACTTGGCAGGACGGTAGTACCTCCCTGGGCGGTTGCTGTTTACCAACCTATTACCTAGATACATACATATATATATATATATATATATATATATATATATATATATATATATATATATATATATATTATATATATATATATGTATATGTATCTAATTTTTAATTATTAAGGGTAATAATGAATTCAAATTTAAAATTTACAGAAAACCTACAAATAACTGTTCCTATGTCCACTATTATTCTTCGTATCAAGATAGAGTCAAACTGTCTGTTTTCTCATCAATGTTTTTGAGAGCTTTACGAATTTGTAGTCCTGAGTTCATAGATGAGGAAATATCCAAAATTTATGAAATAGGTAATGATTTAAAATACCCAAGAAATGTAATTGATAAATCTTTTAAAGTTGCTAGAAATACTTTTTACAATCCAAAAAGGGACAACCAGCCTTATTCAACTAAAAATATGTTGGTTCTCCCTTACCATGAAAACTTGGTTGATATGCCTTCTCTTCTTAAGACTTTTAATATTAAAGTTGTATTCAAAAATCTTGATACAGTAAAAAAAACTTTTGATAAAGAATTCCCCCCAAAATGCTGATGGATGTGTCTATAAGATTCCTTGTAAAATTTGCGATAAAGTTTATTACGGTCAAACTGGTAAAAATCTCGAACCAAGATTAAAACAACATAAATATAGCATTAGAACTGGACAAGATTCCAATGCTCTATTAATTCATGTAAGAGATTTTAACCATCCAATTAATTTTCAAAAAGTTGAGAAAGTAGTATCAAGCAAGTCCATGGTCGACAGGAATTTAATTGAATCTTGTTTCATAAAAAGCAGTTTTGACAATAATATGAATATTTCCTTTGGTTTATATAAATTAGATCCATTAATAATTAATAGAATTTGGGAAGAATTTAATAATACACTGGACAAATAATAATTTTAAAAAATTTCTTGGGTAGAATAGTTTGTTGGTGGTTGCGCAAAGGACCTGTCCAGTTGGGCCAGCGCGCGTCAGGTGTTTAACTGTTGTGGGATCTGATAGTGAGGTGTTGGCCAGACCCCCTTATATACCTTCCTTGGATGCTTTACTTTCATAGTTCCTTGATAATGTGAGTAGTCACGAAAGCGCTTGGAATTTCTCTATTCTTTCTGAGTGGTTGTTTTGTATATTCTGAAATCACCTGTTTGCTGTGATCTTATTGTATATACTATATATGCGCTGGCAAGACGTGTGGCGGGCTAGCTGCGGGATTTTCAATTATAAGTCCGGATCAACGAGGCTGACCAGGTTAAGACTCAACAGGACCTATTGTGAATACTCTGGGAAGATTCCAGTGAAGCGAGAAGACATTTCAAAGCACCGTTTCAAGGTAAATTGTGGAAATGTTGTGCAGTTTGTGAATGTTGGTGAGTGGTGGTGGTGGTAGTGAGGAAGACGGCCAGTGGAGGTGTGGGGGAGTACAAGGCCTACACTGTTTATGAGTACCGGCCAAGATTATCGTACATACAAACCTCGAAAAGCTCTTATAAAAACATCTATATCCAGCACCATGCACCATGCTTCCAGTTAACGTGGAAATGATTGTGTCGATGCATGGACTTTTTAAAGGCTTATGTTATGGAAAAACAATGTGAAATTAATGTTAACGAGGGAGTGACCAGTCAGTGCATCCACCCCCACGTCACGGGGGTGGGTGGAAGAGGTGGGATGTGTAACTAGATGGTGAGTGACCACATTGGTTCAGCAGTGCCCATACCAACATTGTTCATAGTGTACATAGGAAACAAATAAAGTTATGTGTATTGTAAGACAGTGTGAACAATATATAGTGTGCAAGTCCATGTGTATTGTACTCCCCGGGATAACCCCACTCAACCTGCGCCTCCCCCACCTAATTCCCAAGGGAAGTTTTCCCCTTCCCCTCCCGGCCCCTCAAACTCCACCAGGCCACCACGGTCAAGTTCACTACCTTCCACGCACCATACCCACCCAGCATGTCATATTCCACTCCTATTGTCTAGTCTAGCAGATGGATGCCAACCAGGAGGAAGCAAGCAGCCAGGGAAATGGCACGGCTGGCAATACTAGGAGAGGCAAGTGTCGGTCATGCTTACAGCTTCGTTGTCTCAACTCTAATGGTTTCCTCCGCAAACACGGTAGTTCCCTGGTTCAGGTTTCCTCCTTGGGGGAAAGTGTATCCAGAGCCCCCTCAGGCCCTAACCCCACCCCCAACAGATTTATCTCATCAACAATCTTTTGGGGAAGAAATAAAAAGCAACAGGTACGAGGACACCACAAATTTTCCCAAAGCA